GCCCCCCCCCCCCCCGAGCCCCCCCGCTTAATGGGCTACCTCATCTTTTTGTTTGGCTTAAAACATGAACAGATTCCACAGAGCTTTTAAAAAACCCTCCCTGTGCACGGCTCGGGCGGGTGATTATATGCGTCATTAAACTGCTTTTTAGGCCCGAAGGCCCGAGCGCGCGCAGTCGCCTCAGGCGGGCGCTTACCCCACCCCCTCGTGGGGCCACGCCCCCCGCCGCCGCTCCCGCCAATCAGCAGGCGGCAGCAGTGAGGATACACCCTCCCACACCCCCCCGCTGCCCAATGGGAAGCGGCGCGACTCGCCCCCCCCCCGCCCTGTGCGCATGCGCGGCCGCCGCTGAGGCGGGGGTTGTTTGATCGCAGCGCGCAGCCGGCCCTGTGCGGGCCGGACCGGGCCGGGCCCAGCAATGTCGGTGGAGCAGGGGAGGACGGAGCCGGCGGATGACAGCGGTAGGTGTCGGTTTTGGCTGGTAGGGAGGTCGGCGGGACTGCGGCCGGGCGGGGAGTGAGGGAGCGGGGCGGTCTGGGCCTAAAGCCTGTCCCGCGCGCGGGAGGCCGGGGCGTGCGCATGCGCGGTGGGGCCCTCGCGCGCAGTGTTTCCTCAGGTGTTTGGGAAATGGCATCAATGTTCTCTTTCTCCGTCCCCAGAGTCGGACGTCTTTGAAATTGTTCTCCCCATCACCGTCTTGGTGCTGAGCGATGATGATTTTGTGCCGGATGAGGCCGAGGACCCACCAGCCTCCGTTCCCGAGTGGGAGGAGGAGGGTGAGCAAAGGGGCGACTCAGACAATAGCGGTTTCCTAAATAGCAACGTGACACCTTCAAATGACGGTAACGGTGAAAGCATTTGTGAAGAAAACGAGGTTCCTACAGATAAGGACAATGGTGTGAAATACTGTGAAGAAAAATGTGTTGCTGAGAGTGTGTGTAACAGATCAAAATCACCTTTAAGTGATCAGTGTGATACCAGTGTGGATGAACGCCCTCAAAATGATGTGTTGCCTGCATCACCTTGCAAAGTAGAGCTTACAGAGATCAACGAAACCAGTGACAGAAAAGAATGTGATGGTGATGATGGCTTTCAGAAGATTCCTCCACTCCTGTTCCCTGCTGGCAGTGAGGGTGGAGGTGAGACCATTGAGCCGAGCACGCAGGTGACATCAGCAGCAATATCCAAACATGAAGAGGAACTTGTCAATGTTGCAAGTGTTCTTTCTGATGGCAGTCAAGAGAAACAGCCAGAAATCCAGAAGGAGGTGGAGATAACTGTTGAAATGGGAGGTACGTTGTTAATAAGACTAGTGCAAGACTTTGACAAATGTGGTAAATCTCAGGTTTTTGAAATGGGTAGGAAAGTATACAGGAAAAACACCAAATTCATTTGTTTAGAGTAAGCATTTCAACATAGATTAATATTGTATAGAGCAGAAAAAGAATACTGGATGGAGTATGCTTTGTGCTTTCACAGACTCCTTTGAAAAGTATTGAAACCACAGTAAATTGGTACTATTTCATTCTGCTGCAGTTTGCAAAAGGGTGGCCTTTCATTAGAGAAAAGGATCTGAAAATTAAAAAAAAAGCAGGAGTATCATACTTCTGAGAATGGAGCCCTAGCAAAGTTCAGTGACTTTCCTAGGAATTCTGGGATAAAGCTGTTTCATTAAAAATGGGGGGGTACAGTGTTGTCCTGTGAAATCTGGAGCTTTGAGTGAAAAGAGAAAGAATGAGGTTTCTAACTAGAGTTTATTATCTTAAAACGTTATTGAAATGTTGAATGGGGTCAAAGAATGGAGAAAGATGAAAAGAGAAAGTAGAAAGAATGAGGTTTCTAACTAGAGTTTATTATCTTAAAACGTTATTGAAATGTTGAATGGGGTCAAAGAATGGAGAAAGAAAAGCGGAGGTAGGGAAATATTAAGAAAGCATAACGAGTGAAGAGCAAGTAAGCCATTAAATAATTTGGTATTATGACTACCAATTAATCATTAACATTGGTGATCAGCTGAAATGTCATGGATTTGAATTTTTATCCCTCTGTAGGTCCTGATTCTTCAAAGAATGGAGACAATGAAGGTAATAATAGAAAAAGAAAGAGAAGAAAATTTGAAAATGAAACACTGACTTCTCATTTGGAACACGGCTTGAAAGAAGAACCGGAATTTACCTATAATTGTTCTGCCCCGTTTCTTAATGGATGCTCTTCTACATCAGAAGAATTGTTAAATGATGTAGGGAGAGTAGGGAAACTGGAGATGAATGCTTCCACTTCTGCTGAATCAAATACTACAGGAGAGCATATTTCTAAGACATTAACTCCATTTCCTAAAAAAAGACATCGGCAACAAAAAGTTGTTTCTCCTCATGCCAGCTCAAAAGAATTGCAAAGCCAGCAAGAAGGTTTAGCGTGGCTAAGTAATAGTATAACCATCAAACCTCTTTCTAAAGCATCTTGTTCTGGAAATAAGAATGAAAGATTGAATTTGAAGTGCAGGTTTTGTAGTTCTGCATATAAATGCAGTGCAAGTCTAAAGAAACATGTTTATTCGGCTCATAAAGACAAGAAAATACATAAGTGCTGCTTATGTAAAAGAACCTTTTTCTTTCCTGCCAACCTTAAAAATCACCTTAAATTTCATAAGAAACTGAGTAGGTTGCAAAAGGCAAGAAAAAATAGAATTAATGCGAGAAAAGCTAGGCAGAGAAAGACTGAAGAAAGAAAATCTGAGGCCAAGAAAAAAGAAAGTAAGTATGAGAAATTTTTCATTAAAATTGAAAGGGACTTCACACCTCTGGATGTGCCAGTTAGTTTTTCCTGCAAAATTTGTTTCTTTGCTTCATCAAATCCTAGGACTTTTATTCATCACATGAGGGGACATAAAGAGAGACCACCTTACCAGTGTCCTCAATGTGATTACTCCTACAGTAGCTTATCCTATCTGTTAAATCACATGTACTGGCACGCTGGGTATAAGCTCTACCAGTGCAGGTTTTGCACCTTTTTTTCGTTGTATTTTGCCAGCATGGTAAGGCATAGCTATATACACACAGAGGCTAAACCTTATACCTGTGAGTGCTGCCCGTCAGCATTCTCAAGCATCACAGAGTTAGAGAGACACAGGAGATTACACGCGGGCAAAGCAACGTGCCAAGGGCAGCAAAGCGACGTGAGCAGAAGAAAAAGAACTCAAAGACCTTTAAAGAGTTACACGTGTGATGAGTGTAACGTAGTGTTTTACACTCGGGAACTTCTTAGCTTTCATAAGAAATTTCATGAACAGCTTAAGGCTACAGCTAAGGGTTATACAAATCAGAACAACAAATATCATAAAGGCAAAGTACGCAAAGTTGAGAGTGATTCCCAGGATGACGTTGCTGTTTCTGCTAAAAAAAAATACTGTCTCCGTGGGGGAACGCTGACTTCAGACTTCAAGCGAGCAGGGGATGTGCAGAACGATAGGAAAATGTGCTCCAGAAAGAAATTCCATGGAAGCAACAGCATACCTGTTACTGGGAATAGATCAGGAGTTCCTCTGAATTCTGTCATTTGCAAAGAGGAACCTCTCTTCAACTCCAGGGCCTCTCATTCGCAAGTTGAAGGTGATGATGCATATCACAGATTTGTTGAAAACTTAAAGGATACGTGGCCTTCCAATTTGTCGATGTTCAAAATGTACAAGTGCCAGCACTGTCGTTACGCTACTGCTGTTCACAGAGACTTTCAGCTGCACCTAAAAATACACACAGATGTAAGACCGTTTGTGTGTAAAGAATGCAATAAGACATTTAAAACATCAAACCATTTGCAGGAACACAACCTTTTTCACATAAAGAATGGATACGACTTTGGCCATTGCCTGTATGTAGGGAGACGTTTAAAAAATCTTGACTTGCATCATGAAATGTATGTAGGCATGTACCCAGAAAGAGATTTGGGTTCCTCGAAAGGTTCAAAGAGACTCCATTCCTTGCTGGGTTTGGAAGCCTGCAGGGTACATCCAGGTGTCAAGAAGGACAGAGAAAATGATCTGCTGGCACAGAGTCAGTCACGATTCTATCAGTGTGCAGAGTGCAAGTATGCTACTTGCCGTTTAAACAACCTGGAGCTCCACGTGAGAACTCACACAGGGGAGAAACCTTACAGCTGCAGTGTTTGTCAGAAGAAGTTCCGTACTTCCAGTCACCTGAAAAGACACGGGGTCACGCATTTTAACCTGGAGCATCTCAAGTGCAGCAGCTGTGACTATTCCACAAACAAATGGCCCTCCCTGAAACAGCATCTGGCTTCGCACTCCCGTGAGGAAGGCCCCTCTGCCGGCTGCTTCTACGAAGACATGAAGCTGCCCTTTAAAATGTACAGGTGTGAAGAGTGTGGCTATTCCACAGCCCACAGTGGAAACCTGAAGCTGCACTTGAGAATCCACACAGGGGAGAAGCCCTTCAAGTGCGATCGCTGCCCGCTGGCGTTCCGCACGTCCAGCCACCTGAAGCGCCACTTGCTGACTCACGTAAAGCTGTGCTGCAGGAGGTGTAAATTTTCGACGGTAAATAAACACGCTTTGCAAAAGCATGTGAAAACTCACACCAAAAAGTACGAGTGTGGAAAGTGTAACGTGAGGCTGCCTACCAAAAAACTGCTGGAAAAGCATAAGCGGCAGCATAACCTTGGAATATAAGATTTGGGAATTGCATGTCGGCACTCGGATCTGGAGAGGTTTGCATGCCCTGAATTTGCTCGTTGCTTATATCCCCTGCCATTCCCAGAATGGTGGCTGGTAATGGATGTATCCAGAGCCTTGGTCCAGAGAGTGAAACTCGGGGTACTGGTTTGCTCTGGGTTCTTCTGAGAACTTCAGTTCCATCACAGGCTGTGCTAGAGGAGGTTTTTGATGCACTTTTTCATGCCCAAGTAACTTCTTAATGCCATGAGGTCAGTTACAATTTGGCCAGTGTTCACCAGTTTAGTTACACTGTGCCACTTCTTTTCTTCTAGAAAATGAATTAAAAAAATATCTTTTTTTAACTAAAGGAATGTTTAAAAGGAGGGAAGGAAATGCACGTTATATTGTATAGTAATAATTTTTCATTTAAAAATTGTCATTGTGTTTGGAGGCTTAACACTACCTCCCATCTGCTGAAAGTTGCATTCCCACTCCTGGGTTCTCTTTTGATACTTGCAATAGAAAAAAAAAAATAGTGTCTCACAAAATTAGAGAAGATTTGTGTTATCATTGGATATTTGGGTTATGAAAATGTTTTCTAAATGCGTGTCTATATAAATGGTTTATTAGGCGGTTATCTTGTCCGTACTTTTGATAATTCTTTGAGTAGACTGACAGAAATGGTGGTGTCCTTAATCGGATATTTTATAACACTGAGAATCCTTAAATTGATCTTCATCAATTTTAACGGGAAAGTCTGATGTTAATCTAGTATCAAATGCCTTATCTTTTCTCAGGCTGGTAGCTACTATGCTCTTTGTTTCTTAAAATAGACAATACTGAACTTTTCAAAGAACTTCTCTGTTAATTTAACCACTTGCTGGTAAGTTGCAAATACTACTTAGTTTTACATCGAGAACCTTAGTAGTATCTTGTAGAATTTATTTTGTGAAAGAACTTCAAGGTGTATCTGAAAAACCACGTATAAGGACCGTTTGTACCAAACAGCCTTTATTGCTTGGATACCGTGAAGACTGACGGATGCTTCTTCCACTTTATAGTCAAATTGAGACAAATCTTTGCTCATTTCATGGAATCATGGGGTGGTCAAAATGTTGTGTGGACATCACCAGCTGCAGTATTGGTAACAGTGGTGTCACCCTCTTGTGTGAGGGGAGGACAGTGGCAAAGGACTGATGCCAGCTGTCCCCTGATGTTACAGTTCAGCACGTGAAATAGCAGAATAAACCTATAGCTTAATTTAGAGAATGTAAACATGAACCTGGCACTGCTTCTTCACTGCTCTCCCATGTATGCTTTTCATTATAAATAGGGATACGTTACCCAGAGAGGTGGTGGAGTCTCTTTGGAGATATTCAGAAGCCATCTGGACATGGTCCTGGGCCACCAGCTTTGGGTGGCCCTTCTTGAGCAGAGGGTTGGACCAGGGGACCTCCAGAGGACCTCACAGTGCTCCAAATGGGGCCTCAGCAGGGCAGATGGAGAGGGAGGATGACTTCCCTCCACCCTCACGCTCTTCTTGATGCACCCCAGGATGCCATTGGCCAAACAAGTGTGGCCAGACAATTTGTGACTGTGAGCCCTGGTGCTTCCAGATGGTTTTTCCTACAATCTGGGAAGTCCCCATTTGGGAATGAGTGGTTCAGGTCTTAGAAATATTGAGCGAACCACCAAATACAGACGTGAGAAAGAAGGACTTTATCTTGATATGAATATAAAAAAGCATTTCTGTGAAATAATAACACAGTTATGTGAGCGTGGAAGAATTTTTACCTGCATTACTGTACGATTCTGATCGTTTATTTGAAGAAAAATTCAAAAGAACAGGTAAAAAGAGGAAATAAAAATGTGAAGAGAATTATAAATATTTCCCAGGTAAGACTAGGAAAGCTAAATCTGGTAGAGAATAATTGTTTATGAGTATGGTGTACAATGATGGAAAAGAGACCCCCATTAAAGGAGGGTAAATTTATTGAAGGAAATTTTTGAAAGAGTTTGTAAGCAGCCTAAGTTTCTTACCATTCTAAGAAAAACAAGGCATTTTGTTGTGGAGGTTATAAAACTGGTTGTTCCAGGCCTGTAATAAATTTAAATAAAGTGTTTCATGACTGATGAGGTTCCCCTGTGTTCCTTACACAGTGCGCTGCCCTTTTGGGGATTGGAAGGGATTCTCAGTCTCCCGAGTCAGAGGACTTTATAAATATAAAGGCAAACTCATTTTAAAATAAGCAAATGGACTATTCTTTATTTTATTCTATTATTTTTTTTTGCTAGCTAGAAGTATAATATTTTTTTATTCTTGCAGAGCTTTAACAAAAAGCAAAGCCTTACCTATACCATACTGTGAAGTTGTCTGTTTCAACTAAAAAATAATTGGTTAATTTTCTTTATGAACACATACTAAATTTGGACAAAACAGTAAAATACAATAGTAAATCACAGCAACGACAAACAGTTCGAGCAAATAGGTGTCGTTTGATCTGCCAGGCATCTGCTAAATGAGGGAATAAAAGTAAAACATTGGGTGAAGTTAATGAATATAAGTGGAGACTATGCTGCAGTCTGGTTGACCTGCAGCTGGATTTATTTACAACAGAAAGAGGGAAACATGACAGTTCTTATTTATTTCACTTTATGTTACTCTATGCTACTACCTCAATCTCCATTTGGGCTGCAGTAAATGGGCGGGTTTTCCCTCAGGTGAGCACGCTGTAAATGCCACATTGGCAAAATCGGGTTTGCTTCCTCCATCCCCATCCTTCCTTATTTGTGTCTTTTGGGGAATTTGACCCAATTTAGTGAATCGAAGGGTTTGAAAGGCGGGAGTCGGCCCCGCCCGCCGTGCGCACCTCCGGCCCATAGGTGGCGCTAACCACCCGAGAGGGCGCGGGGCCCGCGCATGCGTAAACCAGTCACCCCCCCGCTGCACAGGCCGCTGCGCGCATGCGCAGACCGCGCTCCCTGAGGGCGAAGGGCGCCTGCGCGGGGTCTGGGCCGGCCCCGCTGAGGCGAGCGGCGTTGCTTTCCTCTCACCGTTTTTTTTTCTCTGCCGGCTTCCCGCTCCTTTCGCCGCCAAGATGCCGCGGATTATGATAAAAGGGGGTGTGTGGCGGAACACCGAGGTAAGACCCTGATCGCTTTAATATTGCCCCCCCCCCAAGGGTTGCGGCCTCAGCGGCTCGGGCCGAGGGGGGGGGGCAGAGGGTGTCCCGCGGAGTTGCGCAGGCGCTGATGGAGGGGGGTCGTGGTGCGCATGCCCAGCGGGGGTCACATAGATTGTCTTAGTGACGGGGAAATTGGGGTATTTCTCGGTAAGGGGAGTGTAGAGGGTTAGGCGTCTGCGGGCGCTGTGGCTCCGGTGGGCTTGGGCCTTCCTCCTCCTTGCCTCCCCCTGAGGGCTGCCTGGTGGGGAGGCCCTGCGTGTGGCCTGTCCCTGCCGCCTGGAGAAGCCCTCCCCACAAGGGCTGCAGGGGATGCCTGGGCCATGTCGTCCTCGGAGATGTTCATTCTGCAGCCTGAAGTGTGTGTTAGATTGCATAGACAGGGTTCTTCCTCTCCAGTGGTATGAGGGACCTGGATCTCTCCCCCCCACCACCACAAGGGTTGCGGCCTCAGCGGCTCGAGCGAGGGGGGGGGGGGCAGGGGTGTCCCGCGGAGCTGCGCAGGCGCTGATGGAGGGGGGTCGTGGTGCGCATGCCCAGCGGGGGTCACATAGATTGTCTTAGTGACGGGGAAATTGGGGTATTTCTCGGTAAGGGGAGTGTAGAGGGTTAGGCGTCTGCGGGCGCTGTGGCTCCGGTGGGCTTGGGCCTTCCTCCTCCTTCCCTCCCCCTGAGGGCTGCCTGGTGGGGAGGCCCTGCGTGTGGCCTGTCCCTGCCGCCTGGAGAAGCCCTCCCCACAAGGGCTGCAGGGGATGCCTGGGCCATGTCGTCCTCGGAGATGTTCATTCTGCAGCCTGAAGTGTGTGTTAGATTGCATAGACAGGGTTCTTCCTCTCCAGTGGTATGAGGGACCTGGAACATCTTGCCCTTGAATACCCTTCCAAATGCAGAAATGATGAAGATGGGTCCGGGCTCGTCATCTCCAGCTCAAAAGGCTTTCTACACAGAAATCTATGTGGCATTCCAAAACAGAGGGGAAAACCTTCCCTCTCTCCCATTTTTGCCATCACGTGCTTTCAGACCTGGAACTGATTGAGGAAGGGAGAATAATAACATAAGAAATCAAGGACATCAATTCAATTAGATTACATGTTTAATGTAAAAGAAAGTACCCAACACTGTGTAAAATCCAGAACTTAGGCACTGTACACTGTAAACACTCGGCATGTACGTAGTTCTATACATAAGCATGTTCCCCAAGCAGTGGGGAAAAATAATAGAAGATAAACGTAGTGTGTGCTGCGTGTGCTTTTAACCACTTGTGACAAACCAGCGATGTGCCAGGAGGCACCTAAATTGGGGGTCAGCAGAGGGGAGGAAGAACCACTTTGTGCTTGCCCTGTTCTTATGGTCTTCCATAAGTGATAATTTTGGTGACTTATATTAAGAGAAACAGCCGTGGGTTAAATAGATCATTTTTTCACTCATCATTGAGTACTGATTTGGTGACTATTAAGAGAAACAGCCGTGGGTTAAAGAGATCATTTTTTCACTCATCATTGAGTACTGGAGAAGAAATAGCTCTCTTTGATGCTATTTTTTTTTTTGATGAACATTTTGATTGTACACGCAGCATTAAAAATACAGGAAGTGGAACCAGTTTGCATCAGGTCATTCGTAAAATGATCGATTGCCAGCAAAAAAAGCCTGCCGGTGTCATGAGTATGGCTGCTGGATGCCATATAACACCAAGTAAATATTTAGAAATGAGAGATACCACTTTCTGACCTGTGTGGAAACCAGAGATAATGAACTCATTTACCTGAGAGGAGGAGAGAGAGACAATTGGTAGGACGTCCAGCTTTTGATAAAATCTTAGTGCACATTTTGATGTATATGAACAACCCGACTCCCAAGATGAATCCATTACATTTTGGGGTTTTTTCCCCAGAAGTTTACATGCTTTGGGGAATGCACTTTTGGATGTTAACAAGTGATCTGTTTAAAGATTTACTTTTGAAAGAGAAACTTAATATAAAGTTCCTTTATTTTGTGATAATTTCTTTTTTAAGAGCATATTCCTTTGATGGGCAAATATTCCATTTTCATTAAAATGTGCAAGTAAAAAGGAAGATAATTTTATGGTATTATTGAAAACAAACCACCCAAAGTAAAATATCTATTCTACTTTTTTCCAAATGTTGTGTCATTACCAGACAAACACTTCCCTTGAAGCTTGAAGGAGAACCTAAAGAACCTTTAAAAACTATGATTGAAAGTAGTAATTTTGAAAGATCTGTTGGGTCTATGAAGTTAGCTATAATAATCATCACGTGTCATTTTCATTTAATCTTTATTGATTCATTGGCCTTTGAAGTACAAATAAGAGAATAGATGAGAATAAATGAAGAACCAGGGCTGTGCTGTTTCCACTGGATTAGCCCATTCTATGCTTGAGCTCAAACTTTCTGTTTTGCAAGTTCTTCTGATTCATAACGGTTGTTCTGGGTTTTTTTTAAAGGATGAAATTCTGAAAGCAGCTGTGATGAAATATGGCAAAAACCAATGGTCTCGTATTGCTTCTTTATTGCATAGAAAATCAGCAAAGCAGTGCAAAGCCAGATGGTAAGTGAGAAGTGCCACGTCTGGGAATATGAGATTCACAGTTTAGAATTTAGAAATTACCACAGATTAATTTATGTCCACAGAGAAACAATAGTTTTAAGATTGCTTAAGATTGTTTGATTTCAGAGATTGTGGATATTTTGAATTCCTGCTGCTTGAAAGTAATCAAACAAATATAGCCAAATGTTCTCTTTGCCAGTAAGTGCAGTGTTAGCAAATGCAGGATCACTTAAAATTGCATACATGACTTTTTTCCCCTGTAGTTACACATTTTTAATCAGTGAGTATTACCAAGAAAGTAAAATTGTAAGATACTAATCTATCTTACAGATAATTTTCTAATTTTTCATACTGAGAGTTTGGCTTGAGGATAAATGTTTAGAACTTGCACTTTGGAATTTCATTTTATATACACAAAAAAAAAACACAGCTTAAAACTAATGCAAATACATGCAGTACAAATCCATTTGAGAATCAGACTTAGTTTCTTAGTACTGAACTGCATATATCTGTATAAAGTAACAGTACTGGCATAGTTAAAGCTTTGGAATTTCATTTTATACACACAAAAAAAAGAAACCAGCTTAAAACTAATGCAAATACATGCAGTACAAATCCATTTGAGAATCAGACTTAGTGTCTTGAGTACTGAACTGCATATATTTATTAGAATACTTCCGTATAAAGTAACAGTACTGGCATAGTTAAAGATTAGCAAGATAACTGTTGAAGGGTCCAGACCAAACAAATCTAGCATTTCTGGTACCTTTAGTTGTTGTGATTTTTACTTTTTTTTTTTTTTTCTGGATTAATTCTGTGGTTGTTGTGATTTTTACTTTATTTTTTCTGGATTAATTCTGTGACTCCTCACTTTGCCAGAATAAAGATGCAGAAAGGAAGAAGAGGCAATATCTGTATGAAAAGCAGTGGATAAATAACACATTTTAAAGCTCAAATACATATGTCATAAAAATACTTTGGAGTAACATCTTTTTGTAAAGAAAAAACTTGAAACTGTGAAATTTGCATGACAAGATTTTGGAGTCTCATTGTGATGATTTGAATAAACACTGTTCTGAGTTAATTCAAGACAAATCAATTAATATCTTGGATCTGTCGTCCTTAACTTTTTCACTTTTTACCAGGTATGAGTGGCTGGACCCGAGCATCAAAAAGACAGAGTGGTCACGGGAAGAGGAGGAGAAACTGTTGCACCTGGCCAAGCTGATGCCAACCCAGTGGAGAACCATTGCCCCGATTATTGGGAGAACTGCTGCACAGTGTTTGGAACACTATGAATTTCTGCTGTGAGTTACTGTTTTGCTAGAGGTGCACACCAGGAAAATCTGTGGGGTTTGTTGTAGCTCTGTGTCATTCCGTTCTCCCG